AGGCACTGAGCGCCCAGCACTCCGGGTGGGGGCGTCCGCAGGCTTTGTCAGCACTGCTGAAAGGTCTTCTTCAGGGCGTTTGGGGTTAACGGTTGTCTCCCTCTACTCAACTCGGAGGGCAGGAGCTTTGTTTTCAGTGGCGCATCACAGGCCTCAGTAAATGGAACGGGTGAATGAGTGGATGAATGCTGAATGAATGAATGAATGAATGCCGTGATACCCGCGTGTACGGAGGCGAGAGAAAACCTGGCATTGGGCCGGCGAATCGGGCGGGGCTCCCAGCAGAGGTAGAGGCCCCCGGGCCCTGTTAGGAAATTGGAACTTTGCCCTGAGGGTGGTAGAGAGCCATGATCTGATTTGGGGAGCGAGTGGATCATATTCGGATTTTGCCGCGATCACGCACTGAGAACTGGGTCAGGGGTAGTCGGGCCGGGCCAGGCGTGGCCTGCACCCGGGCAGCAGCACTGGGCGCAGACACTCGGACAGACGGACACTTCAGTGAGGGCGGGAGGAAAAGAAGGAATTGGGGAGGAGTGGGGTTTTGTCTTGAGCAGCTGGGTGGGCGGTGGTGACATCCACTGCAGCCGAGGAGTGTGGGAGGGAAGCAGACTTTGGGGGGCAAGATAATGAGCTCCGTTTGGGAGAGCGTTGTGTCGGATGTGACCGGGAGACACCTGTAGAGAACCCAGGCTTCGGGCCGGGTGGGGCAGTTTGGGAGAGATGAGCGGTGAGGTGGCCAATGAAGTCCCCTGAGAGAGTGGGGAGTGAGAAGGGCCAGGAGTGGAGCCTGAGCGATGCTCATAGTTTAGTTGTGGGCGGAGCAGGACACTACAGAAAACGAGGTAGAACAGCCCGAAAGGAAAACCATGGAACTTTGTGTCATGGGATCTGGGTGGAAAGTGTATCAGGAGAAGGAATGGCCAAGTGTCAGGCACCCCAGGAGATCAAGCAAAACCGGGAAAGAATCCACGGGGTTTAGAAAGAAGGGGGCTGGTGGCCTTGAAGAGTCTGGAGTGGTGGACGTCCAGGGTCCAGCCGGGGGTAAGAGGAGGTGGGTTGTGGGGTGGGAACGCAGGAGGGAGGAGCATGTGGTGGCAGCTGGTTGGGGCCCTCGGTCTGAGGGTGTCTAGCTTCTGTTGGTGTGATTAGTGAAGTTACTTGCTGCCTGTGAGGTGGGCGGAGGGAGTTTGAAATGCATCTCTTTTTTTTTGGTCTAAGGCATTTATTGTTCAGATTATTACAGTTGTTCCTCTTTTTTCCCCCCATAGCTCCCCTCCACCCAGTTCCCACCCCCTCCGCCCTCACTCCTCACTCCTCACCCCACTGTCCTCATCCATAGGTGCACGATTTTTGTCCAGTCTCTTCCCACACCCCCCATTTGTCCAGTCTTTTACCCCCCAAGAATAGTCAGTCTACTCCCTTTCTATGCCCCTGATTCTATTATATTCACCAGTTTATTCTGTTCATCAGATTATTTATTCACTTGATTTTTAGATTCACTTGTTGATAGATGTGTATTTGTTGTTCATAATTTGTATCTTTACCTTTTTCTTCTTTTTTCT